TCCAGCCCCCACCTCCTCCCAGGCACCGGGCAAAACACAGATTACAAAGGGGCACAGAGCTGCAGGCCGCCGCTGCAGAGGGCAGCCAGGCTGGAGGACCGCCTCCTGCCCAGCGCGGCTCATCAGCACATCGCTGGCAGAAAGGGAGCGTCTGAAATCTGACCTCTTAAACCTGTAGGAGGAACCCTGGGGCTGGGGGGGAGAGGATGAGAAACGCAGCGCTGTAAAGGACTCGGCCTTCGGAAGAATCCGTTTCCATCTTGGGAAAATCAAGGCTCTCATCTCAATGGCCGCCAAGGTTACGTGGGAATGCCAGGCAAGGAGCCAAAGAGGGCAGACACGACCCTTCCAGGGCCAGGGAGCTGTGGGCAGGGGACTGCTTTGGACCCCGCACAGCTGCTGCTTTTCCCCCATGGCCAAAAAACAACCATTTGATGAAATGCAGAACAGGACAACTGTGCGGAGGGAGACAGATGCCAACCCACAAAGCAGGACGTGGATTTTCGTGGGCCAGCACTGTAACGGTGCTGCTGCTGGTGCAATGAGCCGGCCCTTCATCAGAACAGCCTTCCAGCGGTTCTCGCCAGGTGTGGAGCGGAAGGGCCGGTGAAAGGGGACCTGGCCTTCTCCCCCTTCCAAGAGCCTGATCACCCCAGAGAAACAAGCGCGGCCCCAATCCTGAAGACCAGGCAGAGGTGGTGGTGCCACCCCACTTCTGCTCCAGGGCAGCCAGCCCTCTTTCTCTGGAGGAATCCGCCTCTGGACCTGCCTTGTCCCTCCTGGGGCTCCCCAAGGACGTCCCAGGGCATCTGGGCACGGAGGCCAATGGCCGGGGCCAAGTGGCACGGCTCCCTGCCTCTCCAAGCTCTCAAGACCAGGCTTGTTTTTCCTCTGATTTCTGCAAACGTTTTGCAGGTTTGGCCACGAGGAAGCAGAGGGCGGTGGAGCTGCTACGGAGGAGGAGGCAGAAGCCAAGGGCTCGGGAGCAGTAGGAACCCATCCAGACCCCCAGCTTCGGTTTCGCGGCTTAGGTGGCATCGTACAAAACACAACTAAGGACGACATTTAAAAACGGACACCGGAGGTAACTGGGTGCCTTCCAGCGGTGTTTGGGAGCAATCGCACAAGGCCTCTGGTTCTCACCCGAGCGCCCGCGAAGCCGCTGCTCCCGGCCAAACCCAGCTAAATGGCCCCCGCGGCTGCAGTCGCTCGGG